CACCTGAAAAACAAGCAAACAAAGAGACAGACAGACAGACATACAGACAGGCAGAGAGGAAGAGACTGAGCAGTATCTAGCACTGTAGTTAAGATTGTGATCGTTTTTATTTCATTTATTTCAGATAACTCCAGCCAAAGTTGTTTCAAAGGAAGAGATCGATGAAGCTTTTGAACAATGGATCTACGGCAGCAAAAACCGTCCGAAAACTCGGCGGCTTGTAGACCCCATGTAAGTACAATTTGGACTAACATGCGAGAGTAAACAGAGCCTGACCAGCAATAGTCTATGTTAACACTTTGACTGACTTTCTAAGCCGATGAACCGATTCATTCGATTTTACGTTTTTCTTACTTTCTTTGACAGTCTTCCCATAGAAGGTGAAAAGAACATTTTGATCACCAGCGCCTTGCCCTATGTGAATAATGTGCCTCATTTGGGGAACATCATTGGCTGTGTCCTTAGTGCCGACGTATTTGCCAGGTACCTTAACTACTAAACTTAAAGTTATGTGGTCAGAACCTGGATCTAAGAAATTTCCAAGACAACATTTTGTGAGAATTGTTGCTAAGCTTCCTCTGTGTGCATTACTTCGCAGGTTTTGTCGCCTACGTCAATACAACACACTGTACATCTGTGGGACAGATGAATACGGCACGGCTACCGAGACAAAGGTAAATGGTAATGACGTTGCCATTGAAGTTCACTGTGTGTCAATTAGGCTTGAAAAAATACTCTGCGTAAAAAAGTGGAGAGTTTTTTTTCACTCTGTAAAAGCAGCCAACTTAGACTCTTGAGGAGGTACGGTACCTTTTTTTTTCCCCGAGACATTTAGCTACCCTTTGATACCCCAGCAAATTAAACACGTCATCTAAGAGGAAATTAGTGCAAAGACCTTCTGATGCATTAATCGTGTTGATGAATCTCTCTGGTTTGCTACAGAGAAAACCATAAACTTAAAGCAATTATGTGTTGAAGTGTTTTAGCGACATTGGCAGTAAACATTAAATCGAAATTTTGTTTGTTTCTTTCTTTCTTTCCAATGCAAAAACGAAATGATTCTGAACAAAATAATTTGTTACTCAGCATTTGTTGATTATGACGCTTTCTTCACCTTCTGTATTTCTTGAAGGCCAACGGAAGTTGTCCCTGGTAGGCGATTTATAAGGAATCGAAATATACTGTATAACCCTGTTACTGAGTTACACCCCGAGGCACGATAACCCTCAACTGCCTTGTCAACACGTCGACAGGGCGAGGGCTAGGGTAGCCTTCTTGCTTTGGTAGCCATAGTTAAAAGGGCCTTTCCTTTACCACTAGAACAGCAAAAGAGGGCTTTTATTAATCAAATAAAATGATACAATAAAATATATTTATGAAACCCGGTTGCAATAACTTTGCAGTCAGTTTGGTAAGAAAAATGGCTTGCCCACACGGGTGCTTGACACTAAGCTTGCTGCTGATACTTGAACTGCTGATGTTGAATGATCATGTTTTATAATTCTTGCATTGTTGTCGCTCATGCCAGGCGCTAGAAGAAGGCCTCACACCCCAGCAGATCTGTGACAAGTACTTCATGATCCACAAAGACGTTTACGAGTGGTTTAAGATAAAGTTTGACTTCTTTGGAAGGACAACTACTCAACAACAGACTGAGTAAGTATTTGACGTGATATTCTATCAAACTGCCTTGAAGCAGCAGCGTGGCCGAGTGGTTAGGGCGTTGGACTTGTAATCTGATGGTCTCAGGTTCGACTCCTTCACCCAAGTACTCGACGAAATTGTTATCGGTTGCCCCAAGTTCAACTGGTTGCCTGCGCTTTGTGTATAATTAACTGGTCTGCCTCCTACCAGTTGGAGTTTATAACCAGTTTATGTTTCTTTGAAATATTTGTTTCATTGTTTATTTTTAAAGTGCAACTGTACATGATAACATATATAATTTAGCTATATAATTTGTTTTCTCATTTCTCCCATTCTATAACTTGTTTAACATAGTGCAGAAATCCTTTCTGTCCAATTTTTAGGCAGCGCCGTAATCCTTTTGCTCTGATCATTCGTCTTCAATTTACGATATAACATTGCAATCTTTAGATCAAAGCGCGTTTTTTCTGGTGCAGCCGTATTTGATCTCCACCAATGTAATTCGTTTTTACTCGTTTTGAAAACTTACTTACGTACGGCTTGGGAAAGCACTAAAATATATATACTAAATCGGAGATACGGAATTAGAGATAATTAATTGCTCCCATTGCACTACAGCGTGTATATTTTTAAATACAGGGTAATATCAGCTTAATTGCTTATGCCCCATGAAGTAAATTCATTGCCATGTACATGACATTGATTTACTGTTTAAACTGGGCTTATAGGTCATTCAAGCTCAACAAAACTTGATCGGATAAATCCAGTTGCAAATTCATTTGACTCAAGGACTATGTTACTAACCAAGGTTTAATTGACTGCCATCCATTAACGATTTCATCGCAAGGCTCTGTGAGCTGCATCGAGGCAGGTAAAAAGAACGTGCTTGTTTTTTAGAGTCGGCAAAAGTTCGTTAAGCGTTTGTTATTGTCACTAGAATCTCCCAAGACATTTTTTGGCGGCTTTACAAGGAAGGTCACCTGGTTGAAGACACCCTGGAGCAGCTTCAGTGCGTGGACTGCAAAAGGTTTGACTATTATTTAATCGTATAGATAGATTTTATTATTAGAGAAGATTTTATTCGAATGTCGTGAACTTAAAGGAACACTCACCATTTTTAGTATGATTTTGGAAATCTCTAAAACATATATCGATCATTGGAAGCTGAGCAATAATGAATTTATTTTGTGGAGCAGTACTTGACAAATGTTTAAAACCCATTAGGGAGTGAGGATGGCTAACGATGGCGAGGAAGGAAACGGATTGCGATATGGATTTTTGAAAAAGCGTCAGGATGTCAGTTTTTCAAAGCTTCAAGCTTGGCTCGAAAATCGTTGAAATTTTGCAAAAATGTTGCTGCAGTGTGGACTTTCTTCAAGAAATTGCTTTTAATCATTTAGTTAGAGCTAATTAAGTTCTTATAACATACATTTAGGGACTATTTCGTGAATTTAAGAAAATATATCGTGAGAGCCGGTATCCATTTAACACAATTCTGAGCAAGAAGAGTGGCGAAGCAGAACATAAATGTAAACAACAGATTAGGTTCACGGGAACTTCGGCGAGGAAAATCCTTGACGGTACCAAGTGGGGTAAAACATAAGCCATATTGTTTCGATTGCTTTAAAATTTCAATTCCGTGTCATTATGCGGCACGACTTTCTTTACAACAACTATGGAATGCGACGACGCACTAAAAACTGTTGGAATTCCAGATTACTTTCTTCATTCAATCCTTACAGCCTCCAAACTGACGTAGCTATCCGCTTCCTTATTTATACGAGCAAACAATTTGATTTCTCTTCATGAATTAATATTATCCTAAACTTCCAGAATTTTGAGGACACATTGTGGGTAAATTTAAACTGGAAACGATTTCGTTTGTGTCTTGACATCACAGGGTTAGCAACGTTATTCAACCTACAAAAAAGGTGTGGGAAAATAATTTTAGATCCCATAGTAAGTCGTTCAAAAATTAAACACCAAATAAACAAATCTGAGGAAAATGGACAAAAAACTGAGGAGAACAAAAAAGTCAAGCCCTGTGACATTATCAGGTAACATGGCAGCCCGAGCAAGTGTCTNCAAAAATTAAACACCAAATAAACAAATCTGAGGAAAATGGACAAAAAACTGAGGAGAACAAAAAAGTCAAGCCCTGTGACATTATCAGGTAACATGGCAGCCCGAGCAAGTGTCTTCATCCCTGACTTATCTTGATTTTATAACCATATTAAGAATTTTTGAGAGCTTTATTCAAGTTAAAATTAACGTTGTACCTATGAAAAACCTTTTATCGTTTATTTTGAGTGACATATTTCATTATAGATAACCTAGTGGGTAAAATATTGTAGTAACATGTATTGACCCTTTTGTTGTTTGTTTGTTTTTGTCTGCTTTTTGTTTTGTTTTTTGTTCATTTTTCCTGTTACAGATTTCTTGCTGATCGTTTTGTCGAGGGCACCTGCCCTTTCTGCAACTATGAGGTAAGCCTCACTTGATGAATAAAATTTGTCGACAACAAAATCAAAAATAAACCCATTTCTCTAACTTGAGGCCGCAGCTGAGATAGTTGTTGTTCCTCTCTTTATATATAACTTGTTATGTTAGTTCGCATTTCTATAACTTTGAGAGAGCACTGACCTAGTAAGAGAAAACATTTTTTTAAATTCATACAGGGTGCCAGGGGGGATCAGTGTGATTCCTGTGGAAAGTTAATTAACGCCATCGAACTTAAGGTAAACCAGGCTTTCTTCTAATTCAGGGAAGAAAGAACTGTTAGACCTAAATTTCAATTAGGTTGTTACACCCTAATTTTGAAATATTTATTTCTAGGATGAATTATGTATGAAATAAGTTACACATGCGATATGAAACGTATACCGACATTTGTATCATGTAAAAAAGCTACAATTACATCAATACATCCCCTCCTGTAAATCAAAGGTGAAAAGAAAAATCTTTCATGCTTTCTTTCAACAGCTCTTGGTTATTGGCTATCAAAAAAAGGCTGCGTTTTCAAAAGTCATTATCACTCACAAACAGCTATAGGTTATGGCTTGCATACCGTCAGTTCGGGATAAGGTTTTTAGACGGCGGATTGCTTTTTGCCGGGCCTATACACTTTAGTGTCTCTGACATCGGTGAGCCCGCTAGGAAATCAAGACGCCAGTCGGCATAGTTCTAGAGGTCGATTAAATACACCTCGTCCTCACCATTGCTAGTTGACGTTGCTAGCTTAGTGACAGGGTTTGCTACATACAGTGCTAACTAGTGGACACGTTTTAAAAATAAAGCCGATAACTTGTTTTTCAGAAACCTCGATGTAAGGTGTGTGGAGGAACCCCTAAATTGAGAAGCAGCAAGCACTTGTTCTTGAATTTGACCAAGGTATTTAAANATTGTAGTAACATGTATTGACCCTTTTGTTGTTTGTTTGTTTTTGTCTGCTTTTTGTTTTGTTTTTTGTTCATTTTTCCTGTTACAGATTTCTTGCTGATCGTTTTGTCGAGGGCACCTGCCCTTTCTGCAACTATGAGGTAAGCCTCACTTGATGAATAAAATTTGTCGACAACAAAATCAAAAATAAACCCATTTCTCTAACTTGAGGCCGCAGCTGAGATAGTTGTTGTTCCTCTCTTTATATATAACTTGTTATGTTAGTTCGCATTTCTATAACTTTGAGAGAGCACTGACCTAGTAAGAGAAAACATTTTTTTAAATTCATACAGGGTGCCAGGGGGGATCAGTGTGATTCCTGTGGAAAGTTAATTAACGCCATCGAACTTAAGGTAAACCAGGCTTTCTTCTAATTCAGAGAGGAAAGAACTGTTAGACCTAAATTTCAACTAGGTTGTTACGCCCTAATTTTGAAATATTCATTTCTAGGATGAATTATTTATGAAATAAGTTACACATGCGATATGAAACGTATACCGACATTTGTATCATGTACAAAAGCTACAATTACATTAATACATCTCCTCCTGTAAATCAAAGGTGAAAAAAAAAAATCTTTCATGCTTTCTTTCAACAGCTCTTGGTTATTGGCTATCAGAAAAAGGCTGCGTTTTCAAAAGTCATTATCAATCACAAACAGCTGTAGGTTATGGCTTGCATACCGTCAGTTCGGGATAAGGTTTTTAGACAGCGGATTGCTTTTTGCCTGGCCTCTACACTTTAGTGTCTCTGACATCGGTGAGCCCGCTAGGAAATCAAGACGCCAGTCGGCATAGTCCTAGAGGTCGATTAAATACACCTCGTCCTCACCATTACTAGTTGACGTTGCTAGCTTATTGACAGGGTCTGCTACATACAGTGCTAACTAGTGGAGACGTTTTAAAAATAAAGCCGATAACTTGTTTTTCAGAAACCTCGATGTAAGGTGTGTGGAGGAACCCCTAAATTGAGAAGCAGCAAGCACTTGTTCTTGAATTTGACCAAGGTATTTAAACATGTAATTAGTTATCAGCAGGTTCCAAAAGTGTGCTGAGCACTGCAGAATATGTCAAATTGGAGAAGCAAGTAAACTGTGAGAAACAGACTGCGAAAATTTCCTCAGTCCAGGGACTAGCTAGCAAGTGAGAAAGGTGTAAATTGACAGTGTAGTGTGAGGTGCAAATTATAACTAGATGAGTGGGCTGAATCGTTTATTTGCGTTCTCGGAGAGCCTCTTCTCAGGTTATCTAAGGCTACGCAGCCCTCTACTGAAGATCTTATAACAAGGTGCATCACGCAAAATCATGCGTGGTGACACTCAAGGTCTTGCAAATGAATCGAAAGTAACACTATTTCTTTCGGTTATTCGGGTTCCAGGATAGCCCGGTTAACATTCAAATCTTCAAATGTACATCACCATACAGTGACGCTAGCGATCGGTCGATAACACCTCTTTTCTAAATTTTTAGCTTGAACCGCCCTTACAAACTTGGATAGACAGGTCATCTTCCGAAGGTAAGTTAAAACGTTTCTTGCAGAGCGTTTGTCTTGGAAACCGTTTGTCCAAAGTCCTGATAACATACAAAACTCTATTAAGTACACTTAATGTAAGACAACTCTGGCGGTGGTATTGGCATAGGACTTCTTTTAAAAGATTTAATTTATACTTCACTTGATGTTTTTAACTAGCTTCATACATTGTGTCTGTCGCGGCTGTAACTACCATTCTTTCAATGATAGCCCTCAATTTCACACAGGAAAAAATGCACGAAGGAAAATTCTGATTGTTTCACGTCTTTGTTTGGTGGCTGTGAAATGAAGCGAAACAGAACATATTGAAATTTTGTAAACAAGATCGCAACCTCCTAGCAATTGAATCAAATAATACTGGAGCTCTGCTTGTGGTATTTCTATACAGGTACATGGACCACAAATGCCCGCCAAATTACTCAGGGATGGATCAAAGAGGGCCTGAAACCACGATGCATCACACGTNGTGGCTAAGTCGCGATTGGTTTTAGTTTTGCATCTGATTGGTCGAGAGGATGGCGCAAATTTTTTTGACCAATCAAAGGGAATAGTAAAGCAAGTCCAAGGTAATTCCGAATTTCTCCGACACTCAATTGAAAATTGCTCTATATGAAATTTAACTCCGCTGTATTTTAAACTGTTTTCATAGATATATTCTACAATTATTTCTTGTTTTATCATGTAAAGCGCGATGTTATAATATTGTTATACAAAACGCACGCTAGACATAGTTATTATTATTACTACGACTGTAAAAACTTTTGAATGCGTAATGCATATGATTCAGAGGGTTATAACTAAACTCTGGCAAAATCTGTGAAAACTGAATATTGTGAATAGTAGTCAAATTAAACCATTAATCAATTTATCATAGAAATGTCGGTAAAGAGCCAAATTAGCAATGTCTACCTTTCGCTTGGTGAGATTTCCGGTCACCTTCAATGATTTCTATTTTTAATAAGGTTTAATAATGCTCTGAAGATATTTATGATTTATAAGGCTTGCGCACGTTCATATTATTAAAGCTTAGTTATGGGCGCAACACGGACCTCTTCTTCCTTTCTGTGTCTTACAGGTGACTCTTCATCAGTTCATGGCAAAGGATAACGTCCCTTTCCACACTGTTGTGTTTCCGTGCACTTTGATTGGTGCAGATGACAACTACAGTCTTCTGAATTCTATCAGCGCAACAGGTAAGAAAACCTTTCCCACTTACAAGAGTTATTAAAACTGTCGCTCCTGGTCTTACTCGAATTCTGTTTCTGTAACCATTGGTTCATAGCCAAAGATCTAAAAGAAACTCTCGCTTTTAATATTCTAACCCTCGAAAATTCTTGTTCCTGATAATGGTCGTGGTTGGAGTTCACCTAAAAAAAAAAAACACCCTTTGCAAAGCGAAGCAGCCACCCTTCCCCCTCTCCACCACTCTTACTCCTCTTGTACTTATGGCAATATCGGAATTTTAAAGTGGAGGAATTGAATTCGCGGAAGGAAGAAGACATCTTTCATATTCGTGTTTCACAATAAGGTCGCCAGTTCTATCAAGACTGATTGTCAACGTTATCCCGGAGAACAGGAGATTCCTAAACTGTGCACGNGAATGAGTGGGAGAAATGGTGGAAAAACCCTGAGCAAGTGAGTAAAAAGACAAACCACCCTCAACTCCACTTATTTCTCCTTAGAGTGCTTTTCGATCGAGTGTCGTAAAACCAAAACCGAATTGATCACAACGGCCAATCAGATAAAAAGAAAACATCAGAATTCATAGTAATTTCATGTAAACGACCTGAAGCGCGGGAAAACGCGAGTGGCCAAGTCGCGGTTGGTTTTAGTTTTGCATCTGATTGGTCGATAGGATGGCACGAGTTTTCTAGACCAATAAAAGGGAATAGTAAAGCAAATCCAACGTAATTCCGAATTTTTTCGACACTCAATTGAAAATTGCTCTATATGAAATTTAACTCAGCTGTATTTTAAACTGTTTTTATAGATATATTTTACAATTATTTCTTGTTTTATCATGTAAAGCTCGTTGTTATAATATTGTTATAGAAAGCGCACGCAAGAAATAGTTATTATTATCATAACGACTGTAAAAACTTTTTAATGCGTAATGCATATGATTCAGAGGGCTGTAACTAAAATCTGACAAAATCTGTGAAAACTGAATATTGTAAATAGTAGTCAAATTAAACCGTTAATCAATTTATCATAGAAATGTCGGTAAAGAGCCAAATTAGCAAGGTCTACGCTTTCGCTTGGTGAGACTTCCGGTCACCTTCAATGATTTCTATTTTTACTGAGGTTTATTAATGCTTTGAAGATATTTATGATTTGTAAGGCTTGCGCACTTTCAAATTATTAAAGCTTAGTTATGGGCGCAACACGGACTTCTTCGTCCTTTCTATGTCTTACAGGTGACTCTTCATCAGTTCATGGCAAAGGATAACGTCCCTTTCCACACTGTTGTGTTTCCGTGCACTCTGATTGGTGCAGATGACAACTACAGTCTTCTGAATTCTATCAGCGCAACTGGTAAGAAAACCTTTCCCACTGACAAGAGTTATAAAAACTGTGGCTCTACTTTTACTCGAATTCTGTTTCTGTAACCATTGGTTCATAGCCAAAGATCTAAAAGAAACTCTCGCATTTAATATTCTAACCCTCAAAAATTCTTGTTCCTGATAATGGTCGTGGTTGGAGTTCACCTAAAAAAAAAACACCCTTTGCAAAGCGAAGCAGCTACCCTTCCCCCTCTCCACCACTCTTACTCCTCTTGTACTTGTGGCAATATCGGAATTTTAAAGTGGAGGAACTGAATTCGCGGAAGGAAGAAGAAGTCTTTCATATTCGTGTTTCTCAATAAGGTCGCCAGTTCTATCAAGACTGATTGTCAACGTTATCCCGGAGAACGGGAGATTCCTAAACTGTGCACGTACAGTTTAGAGATTTGGTGTGCCTGTTCACACTTCCAGTTTCTTTCGTCATTTTTTAATCCTCAGAATACCTTAATTACGAAGATGACAAATTTTCCAAGAGTCGTGGAGTGGGGGTGTTTGGTGATGCTGCTGCCGATACAGGTATCCCAGCAGACATCTGGAGATTCTATCTGCTTTTTGTCAGACCTGAGAGCCAGGTGAGAGCCTTCATGCATCTTAAGAAAACCTGAACCTCCGTCAGTTTGTTATTTGCAAGTAAGCGTTGTCTACCAGAACCCAGGTGTTTTGACCCTTGAAGTGCTGCTAAAGCACAGGAAACCCAACAATATTAGAAATAGAGACCACGTAAGCTGATACCTTTCGGAAGCTGAAAAAGTGTATACTTCCAGCATTTTTCCAAATTCTGTTTTTTTTTTTTTCTTTACAGGATAGCGCTTTTAGCTGGTCGGATTTTGTTTCGCGTAACAACACTGAACTGCTCAACAATTTTGGCAACTTCATCAACCGGTAAGGTGTCTGAATTATATAAATTTAGTTTTGAAAATGGTTTCTGAACGCTTATTTGGCCTTGGTCGTGAGTAACAGTTGAGGTTTCAGTAACACCCTACATGTTGTTATATGATATAGATGTGTGATATATTTTTCTTTATTATAGTTGAATGTTAACTATTTTTACAGAGCCTTGATGTTTGTGCAGAACAACTTTGGTGCCTCAATACCTGCCATGGAATTTACCGATGAGGACAAGAACTTCATAGCACTCATCAATAAAGAATTGAAGACGTACATCGACAATCTTGAGAAAATGAGGTAGTTTTTCTATTCTTGAATTAATATGATTTGTTGATGAGGACTTATATTTAGGACTCTATTCTAACGCAACCAATTTTCTATGGTGCTCACTCGGTCAATTTCTTACCAAAAATCAATTTCTTACCTTGCTCACAAATGTGAGCTCTAACTTTTTCCTATGTCTTCTAGCCGTTAGTGACGTCACCTAATTACCTCCCGGATCACGTGACTTCTTAAAACACCTGATGAAATGTCTGAAAAAAGATACTAAAAAAGTGACTTAAATTGCTAAATATTACAGTTCAGGGTGTCATAAGTCTTTACTTATGAACCCGTTATGATAGTCTGCCGGTAAAAGTAGCATATCTCGGGATATCAAAAAACATAGATTATGAACTGGGCGCATTGCTTTTTTTCGTTTTGTTCTTGTTTACGCCACATGTGTTCTCAGCCTTCATTCTCAGCAATTGTCAGATAACTAGTAGCTCGTTTCAATTTATTTGGGATTTTATTTTCATTTTGAGACGAAACATAAGCTCTACGTCTTGATTCCACTGCAGGCTCCGTGAAGGCTTAAAAGACGTGTTGAACATATCGAAACTTGGTAATCAGTACATTCAGTCCAACCAACCCTGGATTCTTGTCAAGGGAAGTGAATCAGACAGGTAAAGATTAACTTAGTAGTAGTTCGCCCCTCACTCCTTCTCAGGAGCATGGGCCATCAACAGTCTCTCTCTCCATAGCCTCCTGTCCTGTGCATCCCTCTCTAGCTGGTACCAACTCTTACCAATGGACTTGATCTCTGCTTCTAGCGAACGTAACTTAGAGATCGTCCTAGGAGATAGAAAGGGCCTCGGCCATGCGGTATCCTTGCGGCTTTCACCACATGGCGACCCATTCCTCTCCGAAGGGGACCTTTCCCCTCCCAGAACTGGTTGCCTTAAGAGATTAGTTGATGTTTTGGTAGCAAATCAAAGGTTTTACAGGGTGGGGTTGCTGGCCCCACGCCCAAGCTCCAACCTGGAGGGCCAGGGTGCTAGTTTTGTCGGACCCCTCTCCCACAGACCAATCCGGCATGTTTGAACCTGCCAGGAGCACAAGGCTCCCGTCGGCACAGCTGTGGGGGTCGCAAGGGCACGCAAGCTTAAGAAGAAGATTAACGTATTCTTCATTTAAAGCAAGATGAACTAGTCTAAATTAAAGTTCGAATCACGAGGTTCGGATCCACCTCCTGGCCAGACTTACTGTGTTGTGGTGATCCGGGATTAGAATACTAATCAAAGTTCCTGTCTCAGTTTGCATGAGAAGTGCACTCTGTCGCACGGCAGATTGAATCAGGTATTTCTTTTTTTTAGTTTCAACTATCAAAGAAACTTGGAGAAACGTTAGCTGCTGTGAACTTGCATCCTATTCGGAGAGAGTAGAAATACTTCCATTGGATCAGTGCCAGCTCAGCTTCGTGAGCAAGCTGGTACGAGCGTTGATTAAACTACGTGACTCGCACGTGGTTAATCTACTTTATTTGTTTTTATCTCTAGGTCACGCGCAGCTACAGTTGCAGGCATTGCGGCAAATTTGTCTTGGCTGCTGTCTGTTCTTGTTCATCCCTTTATGCCTGGTGTGAGTGAAGAGATCCAACGCCAGTTACAGGTAGGTCCGTTTGGCGTACAAAGTTAATTCTGAATTCACTGACTGTTTAACTCTTTAAAGTCCAGTATAAAAAGATCCCAGACTGGCCATTTTTACAGCTACTGTCAATCAATCATCACCGCGTAAACGGCTGTTATAGACTAGTGCTATTTCTACGATAATGACTTTAAAATACATGATTTTTTTTATCTCGGAATGCTCTGTTAAACAAAACAGTTTTAACAACCGTTGACTAGAAGTTATTAGTATGTTAATTCGTTGAAGCGTAACGCAAAAAGAATAAATTGTGTCAGAGATGCCAATTAAAATCTTAGGTCTAAAGCTGATGTGAACGTTTACTGAGTGCTAACCTCTTCTGTGTTCGATAAATTAGTACAACTATGATAGAAATACAAAGGTTATAGATATGTATGTGAGGCGGAGTTGAATAAGTAGCGAAGAGCATTGCATTTGTGTCTTTTTCGGTCGTCTTTCACCCAGTTGTTTAATTTGTTGAATTTAGTTTGGCGGTGGCCACGCTATTGAATCTTATTAAAGCCTTGTGTTTCTATTTCACACTTGTTTTATTAAATCGCTTTTGGGAATTTACAGCGAGGGTCTCTGTTCCCTGGTTGCAGCCTGGTTAGGTATTCCACGTACAGAGATCAAGGCCAATTTTAGACATCGTACTGTTAATGTGACGAACAAAAGCGTTTGTTGTTGCTCAGTCACATGCATTTGGATATTGAAACCTTCGGCGTTTAAGAAGGGCCAAAAATTGTATTTTCTTTAGTTCCCAAAGCGCAGCATTAAAACAGTAGAAAATTCTTAGGGTAACTTGTAGTTCGCAAGTCAAACTCATAACTTCAGCTCGCAGCTCGCGACACGCAACTTGCAATTTGCAACTCGCAACACATAACTTGAATCTCGCAACTTGCAACTCGCAATTTCAATCCAACTCGAAACTCGCAAATACCCGGTCCTCTTAATGTTGATTTTCGTTGAAAGTATGGGAGACTTCACAATTTGTTTATGTATTTGTTTACAAATGGATTTTAAGGTTGATGGAATTTTGTGCCCTACTACAAAGATGTTATTAAAAGAACTCATGCCTTGTTATATAGGTCACCGACGAAGGCAATGTTGTGTTGGACAACTTCATTCCCTATCTGCAACCTGGTCACAAAATTGGAGCGGTAAGACGAGAAAATAGATAAAAGAGAATTAACCCCCCCCCCCCCCAAAAAAAAAAATCAAACCGAAATAATAACTAGACGTAAAATTTAGCTTCTCCACTTCCAGAAAATGTAGGTGACACCATGATATAGGAATGCAGTGATGGGCGCCCGGGTAAGGGTTAATTTTGTTGTTGGCTCTCGTCCTTACTCCGAGTGATTTTCTCTGGGCTCTCCGGTTTTCCGCCCTCAACAAAAACCAACACCGCTGGAAACACTGGAAACAGTAGACGAAACGACACCCCGTGAATGTGCTATTGCTGAATTCCATTTATTATTTATTTATCTATCTATCTATCTATCTATCTATCTATTTATCTATTTATCTATTTATTTATTTATTTATTTATTTAGCAGCAAATAAAACTACCGTTACATGTCCAGATAGCTTTTCTAACACCTTCTGGAAATAAAGTAGAGAAAATCCTCAACTTACAGCCAAAAAAAAAAACAAAATGACAGCAAATATCGTTTGGCACTTTCCTTGCGGAAGCTTTATTATTATAATTATTTTTGCTTATCCTATGTTTTAATGTCTTTGCCAACACGTTCGTGGCAATCAAAGGAAAATCCTTCGAGCCAATCGAAGGGCCTGTAACTGAACATTTCTCGTGATATATTGCTTCTAAGTGCTCTACCCCTCAAAATTATTAGAGACCCTTGATATTAACTAAAGATTTATTAAGGCTGTCAAGCTTTATCGATTAACAACGCTACACTTGAGCAGTAATTGATTACTTGGGAACCAACATTGTGCTCGTAATAACGTCAAGTTTATCTGTCTAGCCCAAACCGCTGTTCCAAAAGATCGACGCTTCTGTAGCGGATAAGTTCCGCGCAAAGTATGGCGGGAGCAAACAGAAACAACAAACTTCCGGCGTCAAATCAAAGGACGAAATTGACAGCAGTAACACTGATATGGACCTAGTGACATTGAAGGCAGAGGTTTCTAAACAGGTGAGACCGTTCATTCCCTTTTTATTTGAGGCCGAAATTAAAGAGCTGTATGTAACCTTGTGTAAGAGGGGCGTCTGTTGAGTAACTATCGGTTTGGTGTAGCTCGCGTCAAAAGCACGTTCAAAGTCAGTTTTTTTTTTTTCCTCGTAAACAAAAACTTATATTAAATGTTACGATCGTGAGGTCGTATGTATTTTTTTTTTTTCAAGAAAATCCGTCTTACAAGCTGTGAGCTTGTGTGTTGACTTGCTGTAGGTCATTCCGTAGAATTGCATTCCGCATGCTTACTGAGCATAATTTTACACGGAATTAGTTCGTACACATAACAAAATGGCGACTTTTTATTCATGCCTGAAGCTCGATAGGGAGGTAGATCGTTATTTTCTCGTAAACGAGTACGTTGTCCTATCATTTTTTTTTCTCTTATGTTTAGAATTAAACAATAACTTTCTGTCTGCAAAATAAATATGGAGCAATTTTCAGTGTAGAATAACAAACAACCCTCGGAGATATGAATTCAGCGGCTACCCGTCAATAGAACTGTGACAATACTATGTGGACTTACATGGAATCGACAACGTGCTGCTGCTCCTAAGCGAGCATGGGGAAGTCGTTTTTTTATCTAAAAATTTAAGTTCCTATGACATAAATAATCGATATATAAAGTTTGAAAACAATTTCAGTGAAGGTTTTATTTCTGCGGAATGACCTTAAGCTGTCACGATTGGGAAGACTCGGAAACCGTCGATCGGACATTGAACTATCTGTTACTTCATCATCGCGCAAAAGCGTAACATAGCCATTCTTATCTTGGCAGTATGCAGGACGTTTCTCATATGAACCCAGTTTAACGACCTAGCCCCCAGGAGTGTCCTATAGCTCAGTGGCAGAGCATCCGAACTAGTAGAAAGTTATAGCCGACTCGTGTTGGGAGCACTGGGATTTTTTCCGTGTCACTGGTTGAAAAACATCATCTTTAAAGCAGTAAACTTTAGGTGTGTTCATGATCACTGGGTCTAAGACACTCAGACGTTTCCTTGGCTGACCACTGAATCAAGGCATTAGCTCCAAATAAAGAGATGGAACTGAATTTTGTCTTCGAGGTTTGTGTTTTTCGAAATGCACCGAATGTAGTCATTCACGTTTGTCATTTTGCGCGCTAGACTCAGGCTTTAGCAACCACTGATTGTCACACATGTTTTTACAATCTTCATGTTGGTCTCTTACTTGGTGATACATCAAGTTGCCAGGGGGGGGGGGGGG